TTTATGAGTACTGTTATTATGGAGTTTTTAGATTTAGCAATTAATGACATATTTATTATATTTCCTAATTAAAGAATGATTTTAAGGTAATTAGCATGGTTTTAAAACCTGGTCCGGCCCAGTCAGTTGAACCGGTTCAATCGGACCCGAACTTGAAAATGGGCCGATTTCATGCACTAGCCCGTTTTGCAAATTGGCCCATGTTAGCCCACTAGACTCGTTGGACCCACTCCAAATGCCCAGCTCGTCCCACTCGCCGAGCAGAATCATTGATGCCTTTATTAACCCTTTTTTTTTTATGTAATTTACTTATTTTACCTTTTTTTTAATGATATTATATTAAAAAATCTTAAATTTAAACTAAAATTAAATCTAAAAACCATACTCAAAATTAACATTTTGTTAAAACACATGGAAAAAATAGAATTAGAAAGTTGAAGAAACACATCATCCACCGGCCATCCCTCTCCTTCATCCCTGCTCCATCTCCGTGCCATGACTCCATCGGCATCTCACCACACCAATCACCGCCTCATCACCTCCGACAAAGCAACCTGATCTCTGCACCACTTCCGTCAAGATCTCACCACCAGTCACCGCCTCATCTAGTCATCTCCACCGTTGAACAGAAGCAACAAAGCAACTCGATTTCCCTGCACCTTCGTCGGCAGCTCACCATTGCTCCACTTCTGTTGACAGCTCCTGATAAAGCTCACATCCCCGCTACTCATCTTTCTCTCCTTCACCGGACCAAACAGAAGCAACAAAGCATAACAGATCGTCCCTGATTTTGCTCAGATCTCGACAGCTCCGCCACTCATCTTCCTCTCCTTCACCGGATCAAACAGAAGCAACAAAGCATAACAGATCGTCCCTGATTTTGCTCAGATCTCGGTAGCTCCGCCACTCATCTTCCTCTCCTTCACCAGACCAAACTGATTTTGCCCCCTTCATTACTGAACAGAAGCCGCAGAAAATGTGAAAAAATGTAAAAAAAAAAAAATGTTTTTTAGTCAACTGGTTGAACCGATCAAGTGAACCGATTCAACCGGTTGAACCAGATCCGCTGGCCAAAACGGGTCAGCCACCGGGCCGGGTTCAAAAACATTGGTAATTAGCCTTATACATTTATAAAATTATCTTTATTTATAGATATACAGTGTTTATTATGCCCTAAATTTATAAGATAA